TGCCAGGCGGCATCGCTCCTGCCGCTGCCTCTTGCTGCTCAAACACCTCTCCCTCCTCGGGGTCACCGGCGGCCCCGGCGCCGCCGGCCAGCTGCTGGCCAGCGAGCTGCATGCCGCGGGCGGCCAGCTGCTTGGCAGCCGCCACCGCCTTCTTTGCTGCCGCTGCAGCTCCAGGCGCTGCTGCCTGGAAGGTGCGCTCTAGCGCCGTGGGGTGCAGGCCTCGGCCGCGACCCATGTGCGCACCGCTGCGGCCGCCGTCGCCAGCGCCGCCGCGGCCCCGGGCCCCTTGCTGCTGCGGCTGCTGCTGCTGCTGCTGCGGCGGCGGCGCCGCCCTCGGCGGCTGCCCTGCCGGCCCGGTGCGCGCCGCTGGCGGCAGTTCCTGGTGTAGCGCGGGCCCGCGGACGGGCCTCAGCGCGGGGCCTATGGGCGGCTCCGCCTCGCCATCGTCCTCGTCCCACTCCACGTCGCTGTCGGCACCGACGCCCAAGTCAGCGAGGCTGGGCAGGTGCACCGCTGCCACAGCCACGGGCGATGGCTGCTCGATCGCGCCGCTGAGCTTGGCCCTGAGCAGCGCCTCTGCCGCCAGGAACAGGCGCTTCCCAGCCTTTGCCGAGGCCCTGCCGGGGGCGGGCAGCCGCAGCGGGGCTGCCGCTGCGGCGGCGGGGGCGGCGGCGCCCGCGGGCGCGGCGGCGGCGGGCGGGGCGGCGGCGGCCGCGGTGGAGAGCGCGGCTTCGGCCTCTTTCAGCAGCTGCAGCATCCGCGACGGGTTGGCCTCCACCTCGTCTGCGACTGCCTTGGCCACAAGCGCCCAGCGCTTTGACTTTTCAGCATCGCTGACGTGAGCTGCCTCCTGCACCAGCAGCATCAGAGAGATGGGAACGCCCGCGTTGTAGCTGCACGCGCTGGCGAGGCTGATGCGCCGCTGCTCCTGCATCTGCTGCAGTGCGTCGGGGCCAGCCCTGTCTGCACCTGCAGTTGACACCATCGCCTTGCCGCCGAGGCTGGGTCCTCGGCCGCAGGAGCTGCCTGCCGCCGTGGCAAGCTGTATTGGGCCGCCACCGGAGAGTTGGTAGCATGCCTGCCCCATGCCGAGCAGCAGCAGCGCGCCGGCCTGCCTCCCCCAGGGCGCGATGAGGACGCGCGCGCCCCCTGAGCGCCGCGCGGCCGCCTCAAGCACCTCGTGCACGAAGTCGGCGAGGCAGGCGCCCGTGGCGGCGTCGCCCATGAACTGCAGGGTCTCCGCCGCTGGGATGTTGCTGGGTGCTACGGCGTCGTACGGGAGCTTGAAGCGGTACAGGAGCAGCTCGACCGCGGGCACCGTGCACTTGAGGTCGTCGGCGGCGGCGGCCGCGCCGCGCTCAAGCACTGCCGGGAGCGCGCCGATGGCGGCGGCCACCGCCTCTGGCTGCATGGAGGGCAGCGGGCCCAGCACCAGGCCGCCGCTGCTGAGTTTGGCCGGCAGCTCCGGCCCTCTGTCAGCGCCCCGCGGCGAGATCGTGAGCCAGATAGGAACGCCGTTAGCGCCGTCCACTGTCCATCGCACCGCGCTGCTGCTGCTGAGGTTGGCGGCGGAAGTGGGGTCGACGCAGTAGATCACGCCAGAGCGGAACTGGGGGTGCCAGTGAGTCGGGGTGGGTGGGGTGCCGGCGGCAGGATTCAGGTCGTCTTGTGGTATGTGTCTACTAGAGCTCATGGGTTTTTGCGCCCTTGGGTCGGACTGGTTGCTCGCAAGGGTGTTTTGTGGGGGTGGTGCACCGCTCGCGCGTGCGGCGGTTGCCTCCCACTCTAGAGGCGTGGGGGGCGCCCTCATGCGTTCGCCGTGTACTGCCGTACGCACGCACGTGGCAGGCACCGTTGGCCCCGGCTCCCATGGCGCGAGTGCTGAGATGGGTGTCAACGGGTGCTTCCCCAGCGCGGCCGCGCAGTGGTGTCCCCCTTCCCCGGCCCAAGTTTGCCGGCCTCTCACCGACGCGATCTCGAGCTCCTGCACCCCAGGCTTCCCCATGAACTCGTCGATCCGCGCGATCAAAGCCTCTGTCAGGCCCTCCTCGGCTAGCTGTTTCTCCGACGGGATGATCTGGTCGAGGGCGGCGCGCACAATGGTCGCTGCCATCGCCGGCGGCGGCGCCGCCTCAAACGAGCCCTTGAAATCGACGCGTAGCGAGAGCGCGCGTAGTGCCTCTGCTGCCTTGGGCGCAGGCGGCGCGCGGCCGCGCAGCTCAGGCAGCCCCTGGAGGGAGGTGCCGCCGGGGCCCTGCACATGCAGCCTCACGTTGCTGTAGGCCGCCTCAGCCAGGAACGCCTTCGCCCCCTGCGGGCTGGAGAACGTCACCGTCACTTTCCAGCTGTCCTGGCGGGCGCGCACAGCGACGTTTTCCAGCTGGCTTTTTGCTGATGTTGACTCTACCAGGCGGCGGCCGGCTGCTGCCGCGTCCTGCTCGTTGCAGTAGCCCGCGCGGCCGGCGGTGCCGGTGCTGCTTCTCTGCCCCTTGGCGAGTCCCTCCATTGTGACCACGCCTGAGGCCAGGCATGTGTGCTCCGTGCTGGGCGTCTCGGTGACATAGAGGTGCTGCCGCTTGGTGAACTCTCCCGCTGCCACACACACCATCTGGTTCACCACAGCACGGGGCGCTTTGGCGATCACTGCCCGGCGGATGTGCGCGTTCCACTCGTCGACGCAGCTGTCGCGCTGCGCCGCCGGCATATGCGCCTTGCTGCCAATGTCCTGGTTGACAAACGTGAATTGGAGTCCTGAGACAGAGAGGCCTCGAAGGCCTGTGGGGAGCGGACCGGGGGTCGCGTCGGGGGGCTGATCAGGTGGTTGGCGCGTGGCCTTTGCGGTGCTGGCCTTTGTGGTGCTGCCATGGGTTGCTGTGTCTTGCGTGCATTCTGCTTGCGTTTTATTTTGCTGAGGAGTTCTCGCGTTGGGTTTGTCGACGCTGAGGGCAAGGGCGAGCGAGCTCGCGCCTTGCTCCCTGGCCAGCGCCCCCGCCCCCACGGCAAGGATCCCTCCTAAAAGCAAGGCTACATACGCATTCAGCTTTCCCTAGCTGGCACCTGTCTTGGCGAGCATGATGGCGATGATCTAGGTCGCTGTGATCATGTCTGTTACGGCATTCTGCAATTTTCCCGCAAGATATGTTCCCAAGTCCTCCTGGGCCATGCTCAAT